TGGGATTTCTGATCGAGGCGGTTCCCGTTCAGTTTTACTTGCTTTGTCTGTGTCATGATTATCAGGGATATTTGTAGTCGATGAATCAGCACACTGATAGGAGTCTTCACCTTTAGTCCATTTGTTTCATATTTGTTCTCCCTTTTGTTCCTTTTTAACTCTTCCTTCTTTGACTGGTATAAATATTTTTGCCTCTTTCTTCCTTCACACCCTTTTTCTTTCTTACACTGTTTCTGTGCCTTTTTCGTCTGTATTTTCTAAATGTTTTAATTCTTCTCTTTTGGAAAAAGCTCATACAGGGTGTTTTAAAAGACACAAGCATCTGTTAGTTTGTGTGCATCTTGTCTGTGCGTGCGCGCCATTACACAGCCCACTGGGCTGACGGTAAACTGCTGAGTTCATAGTCGGCACTGAGTGGACAAAAGAAATCAACCCTCTCCCCAGTTTCTGCCGTAAGATTGGCCCACATAGCTTTCCCTCCCTCTTCCCTCTTTACAATTGGCTCCCAAATTCAGCCCCTCCCATCCCATTGGTCCTCCTGGGGTTGTTGCCTGGTTACATCAGAAGCTCATATATTTGAGCAGCGCTCTGGATATTTACTGCAGCACTTTTGGAGACAGAGTGCAGAGTGAGGCAACCTCACACACACACACACACACACATCCACACTTGTTCATAAATTCAAGACACACACCGTTTTAGAGGACGCTACAGCATGCACCCTGCTGACACCGTGGCTCTGTTGCTAGACCTGCTTGTACTGACGCTGACACCTCAAAGTGCTCAATTGGGATAACCTCTGAATACAAGGTTGATCTACTGACCTGCCAGGTACTCGAAGAAGGAAGGAAAAACTGAGAGTTCAGGAAGAACAAGCTTAACAGCTGGATACTGCTGCTACAGGCGATGTGTCAATTGGTTAACAGGCAAAAAGAAGAGAAACACAGAGATCGTGCAGAGTTTGGCTAAAAGTCAAGCTCGCTTCTCACACTGGACTTCAATAACCTACAGGTCGGCTTGCTGAGTACAGTGGAAAGACGAGAAAGAAGATACTCAACAGAGAAACTGACAGAAACTGAACCGCCTACAGGCTTGATCCAGTGGCATAAAAACCCCAAAGCTAAACAAAAAGAGTAGATCACAGTGAGAGGAAGCACAGCTGGGAAAATGAGAATGGCCTGTGACATTCTGCTGCAGAGGTAAACATCAGGGGTTATGTAACTCCTGTAGTCTGACTGGAATGAAAGATTTCATGGATGAGTAGATGGATGAAGGAGAAAGCAAATATGGGGTTGGATGATTGATGAAGTTAATAAAGAGAAGAGGTGGGGGAAAGTGGATCGTTGTGGATTGTTTGAGGGAAAATGACTGTAAGAAGCAGCTGGAAGAATAGTTAAAGTTTTGATTTAGGTATGAATTTGCTCAGTCTTTATTTACCAGAGAGAAGAAAGAGTCGTCGTCCAGAGGAAGAGAGGAGAAAGGGGTTATATGTATATACTTGACAGCAGATTTTTTTTAAGTTATGTAATCTGAATATAAATAACACAAGAGTGCATGAAGACAGTGTGTCAGCACTTTTTGCACCATAGAAGGAAAGAAAAGGCAAGTTAGTAGGGAGTAATTAGGCGTGTGGAAGTTTATCGACAGAAATTTGCTAACTGATTAAAGTAAAACAAGTCCTGATGTGCCGAATGCCAAACCCCTGTTTCCTTCTGCTCAGATGTAAGGATTTTGATGCCGTTCAGCTAATGATGAGCAATTAGAAGATGTGACCTTGAGCTTTTTCTTTTTAATGCTGTTACCTCACATTTTACAAGCAAATTCATTTAGCAAGAAAATAATCATTGATTCATTTTTGGCTTTTTCTGACATGAAAAGTGAATTAAAGCATCGATATGTAAAAATATAATGCATAGTTAGATGTAAAATAATCAAAACAGTGAGGGTATCTGTAAATGTGCAAGCTCTTAACAATGTTGCATCAGTTCCTCGTGACTCTGCAAGAGTAATGATGAATTAATGGTGGAATGAGGAGGATTTGTTGGGCCAACTTAACCAAAATCTAATCAATATTCTCTGATGGCCAAACTGCTGTGGGACAATTAAGAGAAAACGAATGAATCTGTGCAAAGCAAATGATGGAAGCAAACAAATGAGCATCATGGAGGCAGTGAAACAAACAGACGTTACATCTTTGACCTGGTCTGTGTTTAGGTTGTGATCTGTTTGAATACAAACATCTGTGACGGGTTTTTGGCGCTTCCACGAAGGACTATAAATGCTTACAGTTTCAGACGCAGCCAGGAGAGCTGTTTATGAGATGTAAGATGATGCTTGTGAAGAAGAGTGGGCAAGTGTGTGTTTCAGGTTGTGCTGAGGAAGGAAAGGCTTATGCAGGCAAGGTGTATTTATGTCCGAAGTGGGTAACGAGCTAAAGCAGTGAGCTATGTTTTGTTGAACATGCTGGTTTATATATATAAATATATATGTGTGTGTGTGTGTGTGCGGGGGCTGCTGCAGTCACTATTACCTCCCAGCCAGAGCAGAGCCGAGTCAGGTTTGCTGACAACAGCACATCTTTAAAATCATATCTCACCTCTAACTTACCTTACGCGCACACACACTCGTGTATTCTTGCCTTTGCATCAGAAGAACCGTTAAAAATAATAAAAGTTGGTAGTTGATTAGTTATTTTATTCTTTAGTGTCATCACTGATAATACAAAGTCCCTCTGCTCTACTTTGCAGTAACCCACAATCTTTTAGCTGTTTAGTCACCAGTCAGCTGACTTGATGGCGCTGATACACAGCACAGTGGTTCACCTCTGCAGTTCATGCTCTTATCTGTGCGAAACTGATACTGGTGTCCTACATTTGTGACACACACAGGGTACTGTAATGTTTTAGATTTCAGATAATTGCACAAACTCAAATACTGCACATTTCAACCATATTCCTCAATGATTTTATCTCCTAATACCCGAAGGTCACGCCCCGTGCTGCAAGTGTAAAATGTGTGATCGCGAGATATTAAATCTTACAAGTTTTTCTCCATTACTGAAAGCAAATAGGAGATTTTTTTTAAACAGCTTTGTTGAATAATGATTGAATTAGCTCAGCAGCAAATGGAAGGATAGCTTTCAACACAGATGGAAATAACAGTCGTGTTTAGACCATGGCAGTGCTGACTGATAATCCTTTGGTGCTAAATCAGCAGTAAATATGTTATGAATGTATAAATATTGCTGTTCACAAATGGAAACCCAGGTAATACAACTGGAGAAAAATGGCCAAACGTACATGATAGTTTTATATTTATATTAATTTATTGATTTTGATTTATATCAGGTTAAGAGCTGAGTTGCGATGATTACTATATCCAAGACTACAAAGTTTACACAAGAGTGCTAATTGTGGTGGTGTGTAAGTTGGACTGTGTCCACTGACCCAGGGAGGATCCGGGAGGAGGCAGCAGATTAACTTGATGTGATCTGAGTGATTCTGGCAAGCATCCCTTTGACTCTGACGTGCTCGTCTCTGTGCCTTTAAGACGTAGATAATAATGCAGTTAGTAAAATCAAAAAAATCAATCTGTTTGAACTATAATACAAAGTTTAGTGGTCGTCATATATGTAGAGACTAAATGAAAGTTGAACTATTTATACTTTGGTCACTAACAAAGGGTTTAGAGTATTAATGCCAACAAATAGCCGTAAAAGGTGCGGTTCCTTAAAATGTTATTAAGGGCTTATCTGTGTCTGCCGTTGAGGCTTTAGGAGCTGCTGTAATCCAACTACTTGAAGCAAAGCTGTGTGTGTGTGTGTTCTGGTTGACTCATTGTTAGGTCTCTGCAATACGAGCGCCGTCCTTTTCTCTGTCCTGCCTTCACATTCACTCATGATCAAGGCCACGTTCTCAGGAAGGGAATGTCGGATGTTTGCTGCCGTAATAGTCAGTAAGATGGAAAAAAGAAGCAAAGCAGAAGAGAAAGGAGAGCTCAAGAAATGCAGTAATGAAACTAAAAAGGCTTTTTGGGGTTGAGTGAGCATGAATGAAAAGAAACAATAGAGTGATAAACAGAAGCAGATTTGATTTAAAACATAGCTAATGGAAGACGAACACCGCAGAGAAAGAAAAGAGGGAAAGTAGCAAGAAGGAGAAGAATAAAGAGAGGGCATTATCCTATCTGCCATTAATAATTCAGTCATTATCGATCAACCTGAGCACTTCTTGTAGCGTTAAAAGTGTGTGTGTGTGTGTGAGAGAGACAGACCCAGCACACACACACACATGAAAGGCTTGCATAACGTCAGCTGTTGTTTTTCTAATGAGTTGAGTTCGACCCCTTGACTGACACACACACAAACACACACACACAGCAGAAGGTCGTTCGCATTAAGTCCAAGAGCACCGACACGTCTTAGGTAGGTGTGTGTGTGTGTGGGAGTGTGTGTGTGGGTGGGTGGGAGTGTTATATAAATCCTGGCGTGCCTGTCAGTGGGTGTGTTTGTGAATCAAGTGATGGGACACATCACAACCAACGTCTTGTGTACACAAACACATGCACACACACACACTTCCCTGCTTATGGAAGAACAAGTATGACATTACATACACAGCCGTCTATCTGATCAGCAGGGTCAAGCAGAGCTCTGTAGCCTAAATAACAATCTGCCCGCTCAGAGTGGCGCCACTGACTAAAACTGTGCGTGATACATTTGCTGAAATTGTCATTTCAGGGCATCTCAGACATCACGGTGCTAATTTTTACATGTTTTTCATCGATTTCACCTCTACTACCTCAGTGCTCCCTGCTGTCTCACTAATGCACGTATAGAATACACAGACATGCTCATTGTTAACAGCATTGCTAACATTCTTCTTCCCTGTTTTGACTCTTGCGGCTCGACACCCACCTCCTCCAAGGTCGGTGCGGGACAGGAGTCGAGGAGTGCGTGATGTTCTAACCTTGTTGTGCTTTTCCTCTCTCTGGCTCTACAGCTCCCACCTCTCCCCTATATCCATCCTGCCTGCTGACTCTGCTGAGTAAGTCTCCACATATTCACACACACACTCACAATGGCATACTTGGACATAAACTCACGCTCACATACGCATTACATCACAACAACTTATCATAAACATCATAAGCTGTAATAAAATATGTACTCAATAATTCTTTATATTATATCCCACAAAGGCATTTCATGTTAGGATATAATATTAATGAAACTGCAAATAATCAATAAGAGAAAGACGGAGCCATATTATATGTGAAGCGTGATGAGGCAGTCAAATAGCCTTTTCTCAAGAGGCGAATAAAATAATAGAAATCGAGGTTGATGTGCAGCCGCTGCTGAGACAAGTGAGTTTTAAAAACTGTACAAGGTTTAGAGGAAGAGACGAGCAGGAAGGAGGAGAGCCGGCCTTGTGTTTTGATTGGGAAGCTAAAGTAAAGCGTTTTGCATGGCGTGGCACTTTGACGGTCTCAAGGACACGAACTGCAATCACATGACTGTCAGGCCTTCTCTTCGACGCTGCTCAGCATGGACGCAGAATACAATTATTTCTCTTTGTGCAGCGCTTTAATGTGGGTTTACTTATTTTAAGACTTAAACAATGAGGAATTAAACATAAAAGCTGGAATTCACTACCAGCAGTCAAAGGAGTTTAAATGGTCACATGTTCAGCTGCCCACCCATTTGACAGGAAAGAGTAAAGATGGTTTTAAAAAAAGAAGAAGAAACACATGATGATGGAGATGGGGAGACAGTTTTTCGCTGTGCAGATTTTAAAAAAGCAGTTTAATCTATTTCTATAAGTTTATAAGTTTCCCTTAAATTTAAAAAGAGGGACCCTGCAGGTCCCACCGAGTTTAGGTAGAAATTTGGACGCCGTGTGAGTGTAAGTGCTTCTTTCTGCGTGTATGTAAGTAGGAAAGAGTGCAAGTGCATCATCTCTTACTGCTTATGTGTTTATTTCTGGAAGTGGCTGTTTGTGTGTGATGTGCAGCGTAGTTATTATTGTAGAGCTTCCTGGAGGTGGAGGCGAAGTTTGAGTGTATGTGTTCATATATTGACACCTACATTTCATTTATCTCAGCTCAGTAGCTTTATGAGTTTCTGCCTTAAATGGACATAGCAGAAAATCCCCTACAGCTATTTTTCCAGCATCAAGTACTCGATGTGTTCAATTCATGCGTATCTACAGTACCTGGGTCAACTTGGTGTCACTGTCTGGACGTTTACTTTGAGGATCAGCTTAAGGAGCAGAAGTTATATGATAGAAATATTTTTAAAAAATAGAGGAAAAGTTGGAATAACACGTGATGAAAGCAGATGAAGTGAGTGAACAGTTGGTACGGGGGAGTTGGGTCTTTTCCCATTCAACTTAGGCTCTGCCGCCGTCTAAGCTGGAACAGTGACAAAACTCACAGACTGCATGAAGCCAGAGTAAATGAGGGAGGAATACATTATGATCAAACAAACATGGTCCAGTAATTGAAGCCAGATAGATGGAATCTCAGTAGAGCCGGTGGATCAGGCGTTGCATGTCGGTGCAGAAAAGGTCAGCGTGTGACTGCTGATGTTACCTTTTATAGGCTCTAACATCCCCTCTTTTCTTCTCCCCGACTCCATA